TGAAGTCACGAAGGCTGTGGCAAATCTTTAGAGGTAAGTCTTACAACACCATGCTTCCTATAATAGAAAGACTAATTTTTAAAAAAATTAAATAAATTACAAAGCTTAAGGAAAGGACAGGGAATCAGTGTGATCCACACTTCTGAAGTGCTTTCCTTCAGAATCCCCCTCAGTAAGACCATTCAAATGCTTCTTTATTTACTTTTCAGACTTAGATTTGTACAAAATGTTAGTGTGAATTAAATGTTCCATACAAACTGAATTCTGATATTTCTGTAGTAATGGGAGTATAGGGGACAATGGTAAAAATCAGTGTAGTCTTCACTTTCCTGTGCCAATTTGCAAATTTACTTGACATTTTGGCCCTACAACCAACTTAAATCAGCATTTATTCCAGAAATTAGTTACTTTAGAAGAAGCAGTTATAATCGAACTCTTCCTCAAACTACTCCTTGTGAAATACCTATATGTTTGCAGACATCAAATGTTTCCAATACTTTTCAACCTCAGGAGAAGTTATCAGACTATGGAGGTTCAATCCCTGGTGCCCTGATGAATACTTGAGATAGCTGATTCAGTGTTTGAATGGACAATTTGGGGGGTTGTGATCTGCACACAAGCCTAAACCAGAACCCATAGTTTGAAGTACACTGGTTTGCAAACTATGCTTTGACCTAACAATGGTTTGATGAGATTTCTGAACTGGTAAACTACAGTTAAAGGTATTGCACCATCTCCATAGGCCAATGTGCCTAGAGACTGGTGTACTGAGCATGCAGAAAATTAAAATAAACTAGCAATTCTAAACCATGGTTGGCCAGTATGCTTACATGCAGCATGGTAGATTCGCAAACAATGATTAGCACATACTATGATTTAACATATCTGAGCCTTGCAGATTACTCATAAAAGGGAATGTTGTAACTATTTCATGTGGTTATTGAGATAAAAAGTGGTATGGAGTACTGGATTGGGACAAGAAAGACTGGCATTCAAAGACCTGCTGAGGCATGAAGCTGAGTGAAAGGCTTTGAGCAAGCCACTTTCTTGCAGCTTAACATAAAGTTAGTGTGAGAATAAAACGAGATAACTACCATGTATACTGCCTTAAACTTGGTGGAGAAAGCACAGGATACAAATGTGACAAACTGATATTATATGTAGGTCTCCAAAATAGGGGAAACCCACATTTTAATATGATTATTTTATATTATTCCTCCATGCTACTTTGGGTCTAACACTGATGCCTAACATTGTCACCATATATATGAAATAAATGGAAAACCAAAGTAGACTGCATGATATTGTACTCTTTCTGACAGGCGAGCTTGTATTTACCACCCTCTGTTTGTCCAGTCCCACATTCCATTTTCCAAAGCTATATGTTTCAGTATAGAATTACTCATCCTTCTTCAAAACAGAGAGGCAATAATTTAAAATTGGATATAACAAATTCTTCAAAACACACAACATTAAGATAACTTTAAAAATCCCAAATTCTTACCAAGGATTTTTAAAAAATGTTTCAGTTGAAGCCATAATATTTAATACTGAAATTTATTTCTAGTGATTCATGATAATTCATTAGTAAGGAATTGCATATTACTTTTGGAGCACTAAAATGCTTGATTTACAGACATTAGGCTATAATTCTAACCATGCTTAGAAGAAAGAAAGTTCCACGGAAAGTTAATAGAACTAACTTTCATTAACGCTTTTAAGATCATAATGGAGTGTTTACTCTAGTGGTTCTAAGGAATTCTGCTGTCATTTGCAGGCATGTATCTTTAAATTTTTACACATTGAGAGATGTGTAAAAATACTGTTTTATCCCACTTATTAAAGGAAAAGCAAGGGATAATTGAATTTTTAGCATTAAAAATGCAGGAATGAAATACACAGATCAGCTTGTGACTAATTTTCTGCACTTTTCATTTTGACAAAAAAATCCCTGTAAAAACAAGGATTCTAAAAGAAAATTCCACTCTGCCCCCATACCCAGCTGTGGTAAAATCCAGCTTCTTCACTGCACTTTTAAAGGCAAGAACTTGTGTATTTGAGTTGACAAATATATTTTTATGGTTTCAATACTTTACAGCCCTTTTATACAGTAAAGCGTTAAAAAAACTCATTAAATTATACAGTATAATTCTTGTCTGTTGAAGTCTATTACAGTATGAGTTTAGCTGTTTTATCAAGAGACAAATTCACAGTTTAAAACAAAATTGCCTCTCTTTCAGATATTTAATCATATTGTACAGATGAGATAAAGACTCAGTTTTGCTTGTGAATAAGCTTCTTTGAAACTGGGTCATTTTAAAGCTCAGTCGCCTGTCTTGCATAAAAATTATTTGATGCAGCTAATAGTCAAGAAATTAAAGATGTAGTATACACAGGAGTCAGCATAAAATGCTGCAAACCAAAATATACCTACTCAGAGCAGTGATTTAAAAATTTGGATTGCTTGCTCCTTTCAATGTTCTGATCATTTGCCCATTAT